TCCGATTGGCTTGGCCTTGGCCCGCAGCAGGTCCGTCTTGGAGCTGGCTGGCATTGGCTCTGTCGGACGTGGGGGAAGCTTCTAGCAGTTTCTCACAGAAGCCACCCCTGTAGCCCCCCCGGTACCAAAACCTTACCATGCAAACCCAATACAGAAAATTGTCTTATTCAGAGAATAATAATTAAATACTGGTTTTCAGTTGCCATGATCCTTCTATTCACTGGATGTGTTTTGATAGCCTTTTGAGGATGGCCCTCCAGACTAGATTCTCTGTCTTTTCAGTGGTGGACATGTAGGCAGGACCTCATGTCATTCTCTCCCCCTCTCCCCTGGTGTGGGCAAGCAATCTTCCAGACTATGCAGGACTAGATGTGTTCAAACTCACCCAGCAGCTTATTACACCGTTACTACAGTCTAGATAATGCCAAGCCTACCTGGGCCTGTAGTCTAGATGATCTACATGCTGCTGGTATGAACAGGAGATGGAAAGTTTGGGGAGAGCATCATACTCCCAGTCCCACCTATGAGAGTTCATGAGGGTCATGCAGCCATAGTCAATAAGGTTGTATTTTACTGTTCCTAGATGTGCAGGAAGTCTTTCATCTAGTGCAATCAGACAGATAATCCACCTGTATTGCAGTCACTCACATGTCTTTTGTTTCTCCCAGTTTAGTAGTAGACCTGACGGTCCTTTCAAGCGCAGTTGCTGGAGCAGAATTGGAAGCTCTTGCCAGTTGGGACATCTTAGGATATGTTGATACTGTGCAGTGCAGTGTGATGTAGTGCTGTGCAGTCTAGTAGAAACACAACGCATCTGGAAAAGAGAGCTGAAGCCGTATCAGTGCCGCACCTCAATCCATACCTTCACTAGTGGTTCTGCACCACACCACATGGAGGGCCTGGCTGTGAGCAGCAGTAGCTTGGGTCTCTCTGTAGCATGGTCCCTAGGTCACAGAAACACATTCTTAGAGCATCCATGGTGCAGGATTGATGCCTGCAGGGTCAGGGTGAACAGCTTTATAATCTCCCCATCCCAAACTAAGCTGTGTCAAAAGATGGTACCAAGGACCAGAGCCTATACTCATTAGCACAGTAGCATCTCTGTAGCAACAAAAGTATATATAATTTCTAAAATCAAATTTTAGAAGAAACCTCTCCATTTAAAAAAGCATGTGTGCATACATGTGTGTGTATATATGTACGTTTGTAGTCTTCCATGAGTTTGAAAAATGGGAGCATGTAGAAGAACTGTTTTCTTGAGTCATTAAAACACGAGATGAACATTGATATAAAATTGGGTTATTTTACCAATTTAGCAAATATTATTGCTGTATAGATGTTTTAAAGTCATTGCAGAAAAATACTTTTGTTTTATCTTACTGATTTCTTTCCATTAAGGCAACCTGGCATTATTTGTAAAGGCATTTTTAATTGCATTGACATTTTTCATTTAAAATACAGGGTTTTTTAAAAAAATGTTTAACTCTAGCTTTCAGTTTCCTTTCTGCTTTTCTTTTATGTTTTGGACTCATTCATTGTAACTGAAATTTGTTTCTGCAATCTTTCATTAATCTCAGCTGATGCTATGCCAGGTGTTCAGAGATGGCAGACGCGCCTCTGGACACTTGTAACCAAACTTATTGAAGCACGGACTTCAGGAACCATGCCCAATCCTGGGCTTCTGAATAAGAAAGAGAAGGCTGAAGCCAGAAAGATCTGGGATCAGAAGAATCTGGTGATATCTGAGGTTAAAAGAAACACATAGTTTGTAAATGACTAAAAAAGTTTTGCTGCTCATGCTAAAACCGTATGCTTGCCTTAGAGAGTCAAGAGTTTTTCCCCAGATGATTAGTTCATAAAATAACTTTTAAGTGAATTATTCACTGTATAAGTAATTTTATTTACGTACAAATCTTACGGGACAGAAGTCTTGCAAAACAGTAGATTTGGATTGGCAAAATTTCTCTGCTGTGTGCCTTCTTTAAAGGATGAAGCGTTATGGCCCAATATTGTCAATCTGGGCTTGGAGTAATTCCATTTCCAATAGCAAAGCTATAGGTGAGTTATGCAGATTATCCCTAACAAGAGCTTTTGATCTGTTTGCTTCACACCTCATTATCATGCCTGCTGTTTCGTATAGAATGAAAAAAAGTTGTTGGAGAAAATATATTAGCGTATCCTAAAACAAATAATTATTGAAATGATTGTTCATCTCTTATGTGTTGTCTCATGCTGTGATTAGTGTCAATTCAATTATCGAAGACTCAGAAGGAGACATAAATACCTGCAAAATTAACTTAAAATATTTTTCTACAGATAAAAACTTTTCCTGATTTAAATCCTGTGGTGAGGGACGTTCCAGGTGTTTTAACAAACATTAGAACTATAATCTTGTTATGGATAGGCAAGCTGTCACCAGCATAACTGGATATACAAGTGTGAAGACTTCTTCAAGGGGCCAAGGGAAGATATTTTATTAAAGGAAATAGAGGGTGATTACTAATACACAGTTCTAATTGGCACTGATTGAAGCTTTTAAAATCCTGAAACAGAGGGGAATTAGTGAACTGAATTTTTATGATTATTATTTTGCCATCCACACATGTGGTTGTATTTATGATGTGTTTGTATGCTGAAGTGATTTTCATGTAAGAGGTAAGATGGGCATATTTCACAAATGGAAATTGATTAGGAATAATTATTTTTCATTTTAAAACCCAATATTCCATATTTGAGAGTTTTAAGTGATTAGTGACAAACCTTTTTTTTTAATACAAGGTAACAGAGTACTTCACAAAGGATCATTTGTTCAATGCAGCTATTTCTCGATTGATGAGCCTCACTAACGTACTCCATGTAAGTCTGCGATATGAATGAAGATATTTTTCTCTCAGACTCTGTTCCTGTAAATCTTCATACAAAGCAAGAGCTGCCTGAACTACAGGTCCAGCTTTCCATAAGTCATTTACTGTCATTAACATTGCTACTAACTCGAGAGCCTCATTGAATTACTTGGTTGTAAAGCAGTACATTCTAGTATCACTGTAACCCTGAAATATATTGTTTTGCAGGATGAGCTTGAGGGTATTAGAGCTACTAGGTTCTGATGTTTACATCTGCATCCTGTAATTTCAAAAGGATACATTTTGTTTAGCTCTGTTCTTTGTTCTCTTTTGTTTTTAAACAAGTTGCATAGGTAGCTAGGTATAGTAGTACGTTACAGAATTACCAAACACACTGATTTAAAGAAAAGGGTTATTCTTTACAAGGAAAATTGCACATAATCTTACATTTCTCAGAGACAGCTTTCACCACTGAACTGTCTGCTAGTAACAGAGTTTGCAAATTCCCCTTTTTAAAACAAACGTAAAAATAACTTAAGTCGTTAGCATTTTTTATGTGGATTATGTTGTTTATCAGCCAGTGGCGATAGATCAAATATAATAAACTATTATAATTATTTTTGTCACTACTCTTAGATCTGGTTGAGCAAGCCTTCAGGCATATAATGGTAACCTGATCTAGACCAGAAAACAAATAAAAATCTGGATTTTTCAATAGTTCTGATTTTATCTAAGATTGCATTTCTAAAAGTGGAAGCACTTAATTTTTTTGAGGGGCACTGTTGTCCACATGGGTCTGTGTTCAGACTCCTGTACCAGAGCAGATCCCCAAGGATCTGCATCAGCCTCTTCAGGATTAGCTTCCAAGTGTTAGAGAGCACTCTGTGACCAAGAGTTGGGTTTTAATTCTCCAAAACTTTTAATAAGTTTCTAACTTATTGTGAAATTATGCTGTCCTGAGCATAGACATTGATTTTAGGTTTTATTGCTGCATTGTCTTCTTAAACTACTTTCCCTCCACCCCAGAATATTTATGTTAACAATTTATTTTCTTTTCCTCCTGTCTTTTCACTTAGCAAGCTTCTCGGCCTCTTATTCTCCACAGTGCAGAATTTGAAGATGCTTTGGCTACACTCTGCATCATGGTTGCACCTATGGCTCCACACATTGCATCAGAGATGTGGAAAGGTATTTCTAGAAATACACTTTTTATTGATGTAGCAGGAAAAAAGGCCAAAAGTCAACATAATATATGTGTCATCCCTCAATTCTGCATCTATCTTGTCACCTTCTGTCATAATTCCTAAACAAACTTGAAACTTTTGGTGCTCCCAGATCTGTCTGCTTTTAGTTGCTTTCCCTTTGCAAACAAAGGTGGGTTTCTTAAGACGAGGCAGAGAAAGAGAGAAGGAAGAAAAATTTAAGACAGGACTTGCATGAGGAATTCATATGTCAGCTGCTAGCTGCTCCTGTATGTGGATGGCAGTATTAAAAGCTGAACCTGAGGATAGAAACAGCCCTTTTTCAAACAACTCTTTCAGAGTCTTTGGACTACAAATATTTTCTTTCAGATATTCAGGCAGAGAGGACCATGTCAGAGGGCTGCATACTAAAAAGACTAAAGGAGTGTTCAATAAAAATCCTACTCTTGTAAAATTCTCCAGAAGCCAAGGGATGTTATGCTGCAAATTAACCTCTCATGGAGAGTGGGAATGGTAGACAGGAAATCTTTTTTAAGATCTATCACTTTTGTAAACCTTGAAGTCTGCATCCCAAGTGGGCTAAGTTGCGTGGTGCTCCTACAGTTAAAGCTTGTGAAATAAGGGATGTGCATGCCCGGAGTTCAGCAGTTGCTTTTAAGGTTTATTGGGTCAAGTCCCAAGATGTGTGTGGGAAGATAGGAATATATTCTGCATTAAGACTGGCCACAGATTGCTGTGTGGTTTTGGACCTAGTGTTAGCTTTTGGATGCTCTCTCAACAGTTTTATATTCAACAGTCATCCTAAAACTTGTGCATTAAAGTGTTTACAGAGCAGAGCTACTAAACTGCTTCTATTTCAGAGCTGTGCATGGCCCTGTAATAATGTTACCTGCCAAAGCAAGGCTGCTCTTATTCAAAGCAATAACAGGGGCAGAGACTCTGGAAACAGCAAGATATATTGGGGAGAGTGGGGTTTTTTCTGTGTTTTCATTTCCAATGTTTTCAAGATGTCTTAATAAAAGCTTAGTTGTTTAGAATAGAGAGTGGCATCAGACATGATCCATTTGGAGAAAACTACTTCTGGTCAATATTCTCTTACAATATGAAGTACCATCTAATTAAAATTATACTTAAATGGAAGTAACGGTCACGATTTTGTTTTCCGCATTGGTTGAGATGGAGATAGAACAGGTCCAGGCTAATTACTTACACATACAGTGCCTTGTGAACTTGAAATTCAAACAAATGTTAGGGAATACAGAAATATCAAATATGTTTGATAAAATGACAACACTAGGATGATGTCTTAATTAATGTAACTTGTCAAACGTAAAGCTTAATCCTGTAGTTCCACCAAGTCTTGTTGCTCTTCTGGTGTAATTCTTAAACTTTATTATGTATAGATGATTATGCTTTCTTATTTTAAATAATTTCAGTATAAAAATTAAGCTTCCTAAATATTCTATTTACTTTTCTTTGTGCTTTAGTTCTCTGTACACACTCAGAGTAAGTCTCTCTTTTTTGTACCTTGGCTTTGCATTTAAATGTAGGGATGGTGCTGCTTCCTCTCTTGTACACTAGTCAGGAAGAGGACTTTGTATATTACTAGCTCTATAAATAGCACATATAGCAGTGGACCGCCACACTTTGATGGAAGCCTCTGTCTGCTATTGAAATGCCAATAATATACAACACATAAGCAATGTATTTATAATTAAATACTGACATTTCATTCTAAAATAACTTGTATGCAGCCTTTACATTTTGTTTGGTTTAGTGATGAAAACAAGAAGCATTTTTCTTTCTACAGGGGAAAATGAAACCGAAAAATTTGGAAGCCCTGTAGTTATTATCAAACAGATAACTTTATAACTTTATAGTTGAGTAGGAAGGCGGATAGGAACAGTAACTTGTTGTGTTAACTCTGAACCACATTACACTTCCTTGTGTATTTAAGCTTTTTTTGAAGAAAAATTATTTGCTTTCTTGTTAGTGTTTCTCATTAGAAAATTTACTACATAGTCAGATATGCCTAATACTAATTTTACTACACCTTAAAAGAGAGAGAAGAAAAGAGCATTCTCATTAATTTTGACTGTTTGCATTGTGCTTCACAGGATGAATAATACTTTTACTGTTGCATTGTAATCTCTCCTTTTATGCTTTGCTGATCACTGATTATGATCAAGAAACATTTAAGAAGAAATTACAATAGAATTTAAAACTAAATGTGAAATAATGACAACCTACAATAAAACCCTGACTTCATGTATTGTATTATATTAAGTTAATTCTGCCAAAGATTTAAAGGCAATTAAGCCCCAGAACTGTAGAAGTTTATGGTTAAGCACCTGGAATGAAGCTTTGTGGAGGTAATAAAATAACTTTTGACAACTGGAAGCCCTTCTGCAGGTGCAGATAGTATTTTTTCTGTTTAAATGACAGGTGTGCTGAAAATTGAAAAAATCAACCAACCTTTTTTCCTTTTCTAGTTTTGGAATAAAAAGCTAGGCAAAAGAGGCTAGTATCTATAAATAGTAAAATCTTGTAGGATCTGATGTCCAGAAGTATCTGATACTGTTAGTTTTATTCAGTAACTACATAAAATATTCTCCTTTGCTTGAAAAAATAACGTTTAACTGCAAAACATTATATGATAAACTTTAAGTATCTAACAAATTTTCTTAAATACTTGCGTTCTGAATGCATTTATATTTAAATAGCAAAAAATGTTTTTTTGCATTTTAATTGTTTTCCATTTCAATCTAAAAGCTATTTGACACAGATCGCAATGAAATGTAAAGAAAAAAAAAATTCAAAACAGTGTTTTCTAATACGGTAGCTTGTACAAATTAAAACTTGGCTAAGTGTATATATATGTATGTAGGTATCTCTTGATTAGCAGAAGTTCTTTACAGCTGGATTTAACTGCAAATCAGTCCATCTTAATGATTGCCAACTAATGAAAATATTAGGAAAATTACAAAGATAATTTTAGAGTGTTAATTAAAGATGCTTTGCTTGACATTTTAAGTAGTGACTAACATCAGTGGTGTAAGTAATTTTGGTTGTAATAATGTTATCCTGCTCAGTAGGAGTTGCATCAGAGTTCATCTGAAATTCTAGCTTTTTAGTCCACTGTGTTCTCTTTGTTAGTTTGTTGATAAACTTTGCAAACTCAGAACTTCAGTTTGATATCCCAAGGATGCTTCTGATGTAACGTTCAACTTTTACATACAATTAAAGTAGAATTAGGTGGATTCAAGATACAGCAATTTTTGTTCTTCCGCAGCTGAAGAATTGTTCTCCCATGGGGTTTAGTTTATATGTGACCATCTTGTTTTCATGCATCAGGCAGGAATGAAGGGTTTGGTCCCTTTGTGAGCTGGATGAAGAGCATACTTCAGTATTGGTAGTAAATATTTCCAGTTTGAGTGAAGGGAAAAGCTGCTTGAATGCTGTTTGATAAGTGCCTCACCTTTCAGGAGCTGAACAATAGTAACCCAGTGCTTTGATATTTTGTGTGTGAAGTAGTTCTTTCTCCTGCTTAGCGAAGGAACAGTTTTCAGTATTTTGGTGTGTCAACCTAATGGTCTTAATTGTGCAGTGAATACACTGGTTTATCGCTTAATAACATAAAAAGCGACTGTAGCCCCTCAGTGTGGGAAGAGTTCATCCGGCTGATATCTTGGCAGTTTATGAACACTAACAGGATGAGGAAATCTGTTTCCTTCCTGAAACCTTGTATCTGAGGAATATACAGACACCATTTGAGACCTTTTTTTTTTTTTTTTTTTTTAGTTTGTTTGTAGTAGTACAGTATTTTGCTGTCCAGACAAGGATATGAAACTGCTTATTGTGAGTTGTTAAATTTTTATTAGAGAGGGCACATGAAAGATATACACTGATGATAAACACATCTTAAGATGTATTGGAATGAAACATAATTATTGGAATTTGTAATGTGTAATTGTCTTAGCAACATTTTAACTGTCATTGCAATAGCTCTATTGCAAAAATTTCTTCTTCTGAATTCAGTCCTTGCTCAAGAAGGCTTCTGTAACGAAGAGAGCTGAGTAGAAGCTAATTGATATTGCAGATTTTAATTGAAAATCTGAATGCAGAAATCCCCCTTCACAAATCCAAGAAGAAACACGATTTGGAATAAAAAAAAATTTTTTTTCATCCAAGAGTAATAACCCAAAGTGAAGGATAGTAAGTCCGTACAAATGGAGAAAGGCAGATCATTTTCAGAAGGTTAAAAGGATTCACGTGGAGTTTGCTGAATTGGAAACACATTCTAGAGTTAGCTTTTAGTAACCCAGGCTTTTTATAACCCTCCTTGGTTCTCCACATCTGTCACTAGGGAATGTATAAAATGAAGCCCCTAGCACTGTACTGAGTAAATGTAAATTTTCCTGACTTCACCCGGTTCTGTACTACTATACCAGCAGTACAATACAGTTTTTCTCAGAGCTGTCTGGAACAGCTGTTACTGTATCGCTATCATGTCTTTGAGATTGCAGACCATTTCACATATGATTGACAGACATATTCCTCCTGGGCTGCAGAAAGGTATTTTGGATACACAACTTGCCTGAATCTGGCAAATAGGAAGATTCATTAAATAGTAAAAAAGCATATCAAGAACAAAGTAACATGGTAACAATCTTGTCCTTGGAAGGGGCTGCAGAGGCGAGTAAGATACTGACCCAGAATGCATCTCCACTTACCCTTACACATCCTGCTCTGAGCTTTTTGAAAACTTTATCTGCTTGTCTGCTAGTGTGGTGGATTTTTACTTAACACAGATTTCTATTGTTTTGAGTACGCTAAACCCAAAAGTTAGCAGCGTTTGGATAATGCACCCTCATAGTCACTTCATACTGCCCGCTCTGATCTCCGTGTATCTCCTGTTAGAAAATCCCTAGTCCTAAACTCCGATACTGGCGTTGCCTCAGATGCCTTCATTAACTTCTTTCCTTTTCTGCTTTGTCAACCTCTCTGTGCCGGCCCTTGTCCCATGCCAGCTTTTACTCAGTTTACTCCCTAATCACATCTTTTTCTCTTGCCTACATAATTTTGTCAAACCAACTGCACTATTGCTGGAATTTTACAGATAATTTTTTCTAGTGCTTTTTTTCTGCAAGACTGGAATTACTTTGCTGCCCTAACTTACCTTGCTGATACACGATTGCTTCCACATCTTCCTTCTTAAATCTCTTTAAAATGAGAATCTGCTCTTCCCTCCAAAATAGCACCTTAGGGGAAGTATTATGCTTATGAAATATTCATGTAATGCTAATAAAACATTGCCATGAGCTGAAACATTGTTAGACTTGTCCTGTCCCCTCCTTCTCTCAATTCACTCATTTACAGTAATATAATATGTGCTTAACTTGGTGTTTTAACTTGGGCTTCAATACTGTGAGTTACTTGCTAGGGAAAACTTGTTTTAGTATTAGCTTGCTAGTCAGTAAAAGTCCATTGAAGCAGATCCAATTGCAGGATCAGGGCTTCAGATTGAGCACAAGTGTTGTCCTTGATCTGTTCTGTATGGATGTAGAGTGTAAGTAAATGGCTTACGGTAAGTAAAAATGTACTCAGGTGACTTTCTGTCCTACGTCTGCAAGAGAATCTATAGCCATAAAAGCAAAATACGTCAAAAAATGTAAAGCAAAATGCACGGTGCTTCATAATGTGCATTTCACTAGGCGCTTTCCAGTACAATAAGACAGTAAAACAGGTTTTTAGTGTTTTCACAATAGAAGCCTGTGAAATGGTCGGTTCTTAACTTCTCAAACAGCGCTTTTGCGTAACGTCTCAGAATCAAGTGGGAGGGCTGAAGGAGGGTTCTGCCTAGGTCCCCTGACAAGTGGACCATCGCCATTCTGGATCATAGTGATGAAGTTCCTGGTTTTGTGTGTGTGGCATTTTGAAAACGCAAACCAAATTATTGTGTTTTCTGTGTTCTTCAGCTCACAAAATGTGAATTAAGGCAGGAAGCCAAACAGGCAACATAACTAAAACCTTCATTTTGGTTTCCTGTCAAACTCTGTTTTCTGAAACTAGTTCTGTTGGCTTTTGCACTTTTTTTTTTTAATACGGATGAGCTCATAACTCATTTTGTAGCAAGAAAACGAATGAAAAGATAGACATTGTGCTTAGTCACACTTTATCTGTTTCAGAATACATTTTAATTTTTTTTTATTAGTAGGTTTATTATGACTGACAGCCTCCACAGGGATTAAAAGTGGCCCTGGTTTTGCTTTCATAGATAGAAGCTCTTGACTTCTATCAGAAAGTGATTTTTAAACAGTTTGAAGAATCCACTTCAACAGGAAAATAAGGAGTGGCCAGTATGCATGCTTCTGCCACAAGGCATGTGATCAGTTGGAAAGAAATGAGCTCATCTGGATGTTCAAAAGCCAAAAAGAGAAGAATCTAGCAGCTGTTGTCTTTAAAGTCAACATGATAATGAATCACCAATGCAAAGATTTTTTTTCTGCTTGAGTTCCTATCTTTTGCTTTTCAGTTTCTGAGCTGCTATCGCAAGAGAAAAAAAATACACAAATCCAGATCCATTGAAGTGTTTTAATCAATTATTTACCTAATAAGATTGTGGCTTAGTTGTTATTCTTAGGAAATGTGCACGTTCTTGCTTGTCATTAGAAATAGCTCCCGCCGGTCCACCCCGCTGCCCCTTTCTGAATCATTCAGCAAATAGCAAGACTGTGTGTCATTTTACCAAAGGGCTTTGTCTGAAAAAGTGCTGACAAAAATCTGGCATATTTTCCTGGAGGAAGTTGCATTCCCTTTATGTCTTTCTTTGCTATTATTCACTGTATTAGTCTAAACAATCCAGCTAGGTAAATTGATGTATGTATTATGCATGGGCTGGTTTTGCTCCTCTGTCTGCCATTGTGCTGTGTTTTGAACAGCTTCAGGTACCTCAGTCTCAACAGTGAAGCTTGTGTTGATGGGTTTTATTTATGCTTTTGCTGGAGTTTGCCTAAACCAGATGAGATTTGAAATACATTTTGCAGTTCTGAATGAAGCATGTGCTTAAAAATGTTTTAGTCTGTATTCTTATTCATACACAGAGAATGTTTTCATTTAAAAATCCCCTGGCTTTGTGAGAATCTCAAGAGCAATCATCATCAGTATTGATCATATTTGACAGCCTCTTGTTAAGTGAAATCTTTTTATTTTGTCCTACAGCTGGAGTAAACAGCAACATAAATCTGATTCAGAAGCTTTCATTCAGTTAAAGAATGCAGCTTCAGAATGAATTGCATCCTATTCTCCTATTACTTAAAAAAATCAGGAATCAATTGTCGTGGGGAGAGCAAAGCCTATTTAATAAAAGGACATCACTTATAGCCATTTTAGGAGTTTTTAAAAATAAAATCAAAGGATAAAGCATTTCAGAATGTACGTATCATAAGAAGGAAAGCAAGCTGTGCAAGATACTCTTACGTGGCATCTTTAATTTGTGAAAAAACAGATACTTCACAAAATACGAGAAAATCTTGCAAGCAGCTTGACTTGCAAATTTAGAAACTACCCAGCATATTACAGATGGTAAAACAATAAGCCAAAATTGTGAATCATTTTGATTGAGTTGTTAGTAAAATTTTAATCAAATTGCTGGTGTTATTGAAAAAACTGCAGTATTATGACTGACTTCTAGAAGTAGAGGTCAGCTTGTGTTGCAGTATTACAATGTAGAAGAATAAACAGTGGTCTTCTGTGCTTTTGGCAAAGTTTTGGAGTGCTAATCCAAATCTAAAATGTGCCCACAACGTTCATGTTAGCATCCCTACACATGGTATAAAACAAGCGCTTCAAAGATGTGTATCTTTCTGTTTATAATGTGCTGTATGCTAATCTAAACAATGTTATTTCCTCCTAAGGGGCTTACTTTTCAAGTCAAGTTCTTTCTGATCTTAGTTATCAAACAAATTCCAAAGATCGAATGTTCTGGTTACAGTACAGCTGAATGTTTGACTGGTTTCATTTTCCAGGTTTGGCACATATGCAGAATAAACTTTGTGCGCATCATCACTGGGATGTTGATGTGCTGCATCAGTCCTGGCCCAAAGTAGACCCAGAGTACCTTCAGCCATCAGATGATGTGGAGATGTCTGTTCTGGTAAGAGCGTTTTCATTTATTTTCAGCGGTGGTCAATTAATGCATTACAAGCTCAGAGGATGACAAAATTTCTGCTGTTGTGGAAGTCAGTTCCCTTCTTAGGTGGCTCAGTGAAAGGTCAGATCGAAGAGAAGCTGCAATTATCGTTGTGCTGAGTAATTAAAATGGTTTCCTAAATGAAAAAAATGTAGCAAGTCTGGAAGGGAGACGATCTAAATATAAATCTTTTTGTGTGACTGCATATTAGTACCTGTGGAGATTTGACCAATGAACAGCTGTGGGCAAGGAGGGTACAGTCAAAACTGTGATCAAAATACAGGTCCCTCCAGATTTTTTTGCCTGACAGTGCATTTATGATCTTGGCCCTGTACAAAAATGTATAATTAGGTGACATTTCTTGTGGTACCTGAAGTGCTATGGTTGCCTAATACAACTTACCATAAGATGGGTTAAGTTGCTGTGATTTTTGCCAAGCGATGTTTCCCGTCTGCCTCGGGCTGAACTTCTGGCACATTTCAGCAGAGCATATTTGCAGGAATGAGGTTGAGGAAAAACAGGTATCTCTCCTAATGTTAGAACTGCATTCCAGTTTCTCTTTGAGCTCCAACACCTTTGTGGTCTAGGGAAGTCAGTAGAAGAGTGGATATAAAACTACATTTAGTCAACCTGTAATTTTCCAAAATGTGTATGTGCACATGCACAGTGTAGTTTACTGTCTTTTTTCCTACATCTCTAATTAACTAGTCTGTATTCAGCATTGTTAAGCTTTATCGTTACTGGAGCACAGTAGCAGCAAGTGCCACTGCAGGCCATAGAGAGACTGTGGGGCTTGGAGGCAGGGGGTGGGATCCAGGAGCACTGTCTCAGCTCTTCCATCAACTGGCTCCTGGTCAACTTGCATTCAAGTGCTTCATGCTCAGGCATTATGGTAGTCTGTAATTACGTAGTTGCATACTATTAGATCTGCAGGAGTCCTGCCTTTTTCACTGCTCACCAAAGAATAACCTTTAACGTACCATGCAGATGTTCTAAACTTAAATGTTTTAACTTAAATTAAATGTTTCAACTTAAACACTTTTTGTGTTTCTGGACATGGAATGAGATAGAGCCTCTAGAAGAAATGTCATTTGGTCACGTAAAGCTGCATGCTCTGTGTGTGTGTGTGTGTGCGCGTGTGCATGTGCATGTGTAAGGGAAGCAATGCCTTTTATTTGTATTTTATCTTTTTTATTATGTTAGCTCCTTTGCGTAGGAGGAGTAAGTTCAGTTATTTTTGTTCAGCTGGGTTTTTTGAGGAGGGAAGAGACTGCTTGGCTTTAGGGGAAGTTGTGTTTTTGTAGATTTCCTTAATCAAATTATCTTTGCAAATGATTTCCTATCTTGCCAGATCTCTCAGTCACAGTTCACTTGAACAGAATGAGAAATGCTGCTAAAAACCGAATTTTTCTAACGTTCAACAAATATATTTAGCAGAGGCCACAGAGCATGTCTTTTTGGAGGAAATTTTCAATTGGCATCTTTTCCCAAACTAAGGAGAAGGACTGAAGTGCCAGCTGGGGTTAATAACAGACTTAGCCTAATATTCAGTGTGGGTTTATTGCTTTTCTTTTTTTCTTAAGTACTAAGTATTTATTTGTACCAGTAAAAAGGTCATATATCCACAAAAATCTTCACTTGGGTATAATCACTTTGCTCAAGCTTAAAATAAACGTTCACCTTCAAGCACAGCTAGCAAACATCTTAAATTCCAGTGTTCGGTTTATAAGGAAGTTATGAATGAGAAATTGTGTAATTATAGAAACTTCTTTGCGATTGTGGTTAAAGCAAACATGTTATTAAATATATCTTTAAAATAAAAACTTCAGCAATACAGGGAAAACTCTGAACTCAATGTTTTTAAGACTGTACAACTGAACATAAAAATGCTTAAACATTTCACTGATACTTTTCTGCTGACGTTAAAACTTCCTTCACAAAAAAAGAAAACAGAAGAATAAAAATTAATTTTGCTTTAAACAACCATTACGACAATTATTTTGTTTCTTTTCCTGGTTGACTTTGTCAAAGCCATAGCCTTGTGTAGAAGTCTTGTAATAAGAGAAAAAGCAAGCCCTGTGTTCTCAGTCATATATTCGTGGAAGAATATGATGTATGTAAACACCTTCCTTAGTTCTGAGAAAGCAAGCGACTGGAAGACCAGAGAGACAAGTTCATTTTTTGAACTGGGAATAATTCTTAAAAATAGTGCCTGGGGAGCGTGCCTGGCTTTCTACTCTAAGAGTAAGGCAAAAGGGAAATATGGAGGAGCAGGGAGAGATCATTGTAAATGTGAATATTTTAAGGTCTTGTGGACACTGTAGGTTTTTGTATGGCTGTAAAAATAAATTGCCCTCATTAGACCAAGAAACAGTCAACATATGAAGGAATTGGTTAGTTGCAAAGAGGCAGTGTCTCTTCACAAGGCTGCCCAGTCACACTGAGTCTTTGGGCCACAACCCTGTTCTTCTCAAGACATCAAACCGCCTCAGGCTGCCAGGGATTTGCCTGCTGAGACATTATGGTTTTATTTCTCTTGACACAAAATACTTCATTTTTTCCTGTCTGTGCTGGAGTTACGTCTTTCCATATTTAACCCAAAGCAGCAAAAGCAACCAACTCACTGCATCCTTGGCTGATACAATACAGATTGCCTACAAGAAAGACATTTAAATTCACTGGATAAGCATGGTATCTGTTATTCTAAATGTTATTACAAAGTTGAATATTTGTAATCGTACCATATATTGTTAATGCTGTGAAAAATATGACCTGCATGTAGTGTGCATTTCGTCCTATGAACACACTTCTGACTAGCATTCCTCACATTTTCTAGGTGGTGCAGAACTGTTGGCAGCTGTGGTCTTATAACTGATGTTTTTATAAAATAAAAAAAAAAGTTGGTGTCATTTTTCTTGCTTTGGCGTATGAGGAAGCCCTAAAAGTGCACAGATATTTATTTTCCTTTTTACTTCTCAGAAGGATTATGCATCAATGGTAAAAAAATATTTGAGTTGAACTAAAAATTCCTCTCTGCAGCCTCCAGGTGCTTATTTTTCAGTCTTTTGTGATTTCATTTCATCCTTCATAACCTCTCTACTTCCCTCTAGCTCCCTCTAGATCCAAAATAGTCTAAAATGTCAAATGTTAAAAAAAGAAGAAGAAAAGAAAAAGCAACAGCTTCCTTCCTCAGGGGAAGAAAGGACCCAAGCCTCATTTATTTCTCCTCTTGCAGTTTGTCATGGTTTTTCAGATGGCTGCTAGCACCCAGGTTTCTTGTGCTGGCACTTTACCTGGAGCTGCCGAGGGTTATGCTGGTCTAGTGAGACACAGAGGGAGATATGGAGGAATAGCAGAAGATACTTGTCCTACTTGACTAAAAGAATATGTGAATAGGATGCTTGTCGCGCACAGTGTGTGATTAAATCTTCAGATGCTTAAGAATGGCGTTAATACGTTTGACTTTGTGTCACGATACCTACAATACAATGAAAGCCATGCTGCAAATGTGCTGAAATCATAACCAATCTGCCATTTGATACGATTTTTGGACTCAGCTCGCAGCATGGTGTGGGAAGATCAGGAGAGATGCTGTGGGAAGGTACACAGTGTCAGGTCGCCTAGGCTTCTCGACCTTTCTAGGAAAACACAACCGCTAGCAGTCATTTATTTACTAAGTTGATTTAGACCACTTGGCTTTTCTGTTGAGAACAGCACCAAATAGGCTAGTTGTGGCAAGTTTCCCCCTGCCAACATCCATCCACTGGGACATATTAATTTGCATCATGGAGGATAGTGAATGACATTTTAACTAAGCAGGCATAGTTTTGAACTGCAGGCTGTGTATCCTAGCAGCGAGCTCACAAGCTTGCTTTATATTCTCACTAAAACTGTATCCGTTTGGATTTTACCGTTTTCTTTTTCCTGTGGAAAAAGGGCTCTCTCTGGGACTTCTCTGAAGTGCCCTGTCAAGAAGAACTACTTGTATTTATTTTTCACAAAAGCTTTAAAAATGAACTCTTCTGTGTTTTTCAAGGGATTTACTTTGCACGAGGTGCTAAAGGCAAAGTTTAACACAGCTGGCCTTTTATGATACCACGTTATGGTTGCATGTAGGAATAGTTAAAAGCCTATCTACATTATCACTGCAAATTGTTGTCAAGTCTAGTCAAAAAACAGAAGTGACTCATCCCAACTGTATTTGAAACTTCATCTTGTTCCTTAAAAATCTGTCCCAACTTCCTCTCTCTGAGAATTGCACAGATTATTTTATTTTCAATAAAATACAAACTAAGTAAATGAAGTAGGCTCTCTCTCATCCGTGGTATGTTGCATACATGTATCCTGGATAAAATCCAGATGAAAACCAAGCTGTGTGCATTTTTATGTCCAAGCTGTATGAAGCAACACATGTTCCTTTTAGATGATGGAAAACTCGTTACAATGATGTTTAAAGGTCAAAGATCTGCAGTACCTGCAGCAGATTTTTATGCAAGTAATTTGATTGAACTGGATTTAAAAATTCAAATTATTTAATTTGCTAAAATGTGGGATTGATATTCTTTTCATTAATACACTGAAAGTACTCCATATAAATCTGAAAGCTTTTGTAATAATGAATTTTATGCCAATTCCAGAAAGGTACTTGGTAAGGCTCTGTAGTCTCTGTCCATTATCTACTCTTACTGGATGACAGAAAAGATTGATAAGATCATTTTATAAATTAAGGGGATTCCCACTGAAGGCGTTACTCAGTTTTACTTAACATCATTCTGCCTTGCTGATGCAAAACGAGTATGGAAGCTGCTCTGAAAACCAGCCACACATAGGAAAGCGTTACCTTATGAGTGGTTGTCATCTTTGTGGTCAGTGTTGGCTTAATGAGCCATGCGTTTAGTGCGAATGCAACATATAATGAGTTAAAGCCTATTTTTCTAAAAATGAGTGATGATGAATCTTTCAGATATCTTTTCAGCCACAAATATTTTTATTTTAATAAATCTTGCATTTGAATCTCTGTAAGGAATTGCTTAGCTGTAAAGAATTCAAATTGCAGCCTAGAAGTATGTACAAACCAAGACTCCCACCTGACAAACCATTATGTTCACTCTCATTATTCAGCTTGTGTAACTATCATGTTTTTAAACTTAAAAGATCGCTGCATTGCATAGTCACATGCTGCTTGCTGTCTTCAAAACTAAGACTTCCTATGGCCACTTCTTCAATTTTCCTTGAGTATTGTGAGTCAGAGTTTCATTCTCTTCTTTTATGGTAGAGGGACAGGAGGTATGGAGAATTTTATCTTCTACTTAGAAGTTTGGTGTTGGAGAAAAGAGAGTTTGATCCACGTTTTTTCCCCACACATAATGAGATGGACTGGATTCAGGAAATGAAATTGTGTAAATCAGTCTAGTAACTTCTGGTTTTCTTGTTTTCATATCTCTCTTTTTCAGATCAATAACAAAGCCTGTGGCAAGGTTTTAGTGCCTCAGCAAGCAGCCCGCAATTTTGAAGAAGTCCACGAACTCGTTCTTCAAAGTGAACTTGGAGTCAAGCATCTCCAGGGACGAACCATTAAAAAGGCCTTTCTGTCTCCCAGAACTGCCCTGATCAACTTCTTAGTGCAAGAATAGCACAGGCTCTGCTGGGCAAAAGGGAACTGGAGTCTTTCGAGATGAAACCAATTCAAAAATACCAGTTATTGTTACTTAAATTTCATGTAGCAGTGGGGAAGAAATGTTATTAAAATCAGGTTGCTGCTAAATCTTCATTTCAGCATGGAGAAATGCGCGGAATTAAAGTTTTTTATCGGATCACAGTGAGATGCTGTTTGTCCGTATTCTTTGGGAGAATGAGAAGGAAGCACAGAAGAACGAAATGATTGTAACAGAATGTTACGCAGGGGCTTTAGTGTCAGCCTCAGGAATATATCCTGTTGGAAAGTTGGCTTGGCTAAATGCAGAGGCATAAATATGATTCCAGGACTAAACAACTGCCCTGAGCATGTGCTACACCAAATGTTAGGTGTGCTACAGTCAGTCTTTGCTGCATATATCTCATGTTTGAGATACCCTACCATTAACTAACATTTTAAGTTGTAAGAAAATGTTACTACAGAGCATTAATTTAAAAAAGGATTTGTTTAGCACTGGCCAATGGCCTTGGGCACAGCAGGTAGCCAGAACTGGGGTGGTTTGATACATTTCACATATGTTTCAGAGCCAAGCCAAGAAAAAGGTCAGATTATTTAGCCAAGCCCTGCCCTAGCCAGGATCCTCCTTCCTTGCTGGCTTATTTCTGTTGGCTCATACATGAGAGATTCAACTTCAGCAAAGTGCTGGCCGTTGTTTCTGCACAGAGTAGAATGGAAGTTGCTTCTTACGCACGAGCCATCTCAGAGACTTTCGGGGGGATTCACGAAAGGGATGAGTCGGCTGCTAGAAATGCAGCAGTGGTGAAGGCAGACAGCATGCATTTGCCTCTACTCCTAGTTCTTGTAGTGCCTAGATCATAAAGTTTGAATCAAAATTCTTTTTTTTTCTGAGGGCTTCATTAAGTGGAAATAGCCTTCATGTTTCTAAAAATCAATCAGACTTTCATAAAACACAAAGCCATTCTCATGCCTCATTTCAATCATTTTATTTGTACGCTCCATTGCTGTTATATCCACATGGAAATGTTTATTGTATTTAGCAAATGCTTGAAAAAGGGTTTCCAAAGAGACAATTACAGGGTTCATTGTGTAAGAATGTCTTTTCTTTAACAGCCATTAAACTAAGTAGTCCAATAAGCCAGCCATTTCTGAGCCATTCTGACAGCTAAGAAGTCGGCAATAAGAACCAGCTAGGCAAATACGGGGGTCTGTATTAACCCTCCAGCCCAGCAGTCATCCGGACTGTGTATTAGGCTACAAGGAAACCAGCAAAAATCACCCACGTAACAGTAAATAAGTCCAACAGATCCTAAGCAACTAGGATCAAGATAGATCACATTGCAGTGTGAGTACTAGCTAAGGAATACCAATATCCATTTCGGTTTTGTGCATTTTTGGTAGCGAAGATTTAGCTGCGTAACGGAGATGCCAGGCTCAGCGAGCAGATTCGGCTCTACACATCCCTACTTCTGCAACAAAACTCTTCTGATTTCTGCTTCCTCTTGGACCACACTCGTGCAGATTTTCTCTCCAGCAGTCCTTTGACACAAGAATGACTAAGAAATGGAATATTTATAATGAAGATATGGTCTCTGCAGTTTTAAAACTCCAAAAATCTCAGCCACAAAGGAATGCATTCAGACATTCAAACACAGGCCTTTAGTTGGAGTTAAAATAATTTGAATTCCAGTGTCTGCCTGACATATATGTTGTTATAAATTCATAAAACTCCTGTTCAGAAGCCCCTAAAAGGACTGTGAAAGAGATCCTTTAAAGTAAAATCTGTAGCACAGCACAGCCCTGCTTTTTTTTCTGTATAGAAGTTTAACACACCCTGTGGAACCATTTTAACAGAGTTTTTCTTTGGGGGGAAGGTGACATGTTTGGTGTAAATAAAAACTTGTAAAATTTACAAGGATGAAAAAAGATGTTGTAAGCCCAGCAGCCCTACGGTGCCTTTAAACAAAAGCTGCAGTCACTCCAGGGCCGAGCAGCAGCCCACGGCGTTTATTGCCGTTAGCACTGGCGGGTATTTGCTCCTGCCAGAGGAAATGAATTGTAGATGTCACTTGGCGATTCAGGCAAAAATCAAAATAAGGAATGGACTTCTACACGCTAAAAAAAGGAAAGGTAGTGGACAGCAGTTGCACAAGAAGTGTACGGTCAGAAGTCACGCCAGTAAGTCGAAATTCAGGGTGGTCTAGAGGATACAAAAAAGGCGGTGTACAAGTGAGTGAGAGAGATGACGCGGTGAGTCTGACAGAGCCGAGTCCCCTGGTCAGTGTTCGGCAGAGGTGCCAGCTGTGGAGTTGTGCGGTTGTCCTGACAGCTGCTGGCGTTTCTCATGAGGCTGGCCTGCTCTGAAGCACGATTGCCATTTGTCTTACGATAATTGTGACTCACGGGTTTGGTCTGTGTCTAGATGGGAACGGATACTGATACACAGGCTGTAGCCTGTTACCAAGCCTTTTTAAAATAACTTATCGCAGATGCCTCTCATTTATTTAACAGTTGTTACTTGTGTCACGGTAGAGATGCATCTATGCTGACGGCGGTATAAAGCGTTGTCAGAGGTTGTGTGGCCTTGAAGAGTTCAGTGGCTAAATGGTATGGGAGTTTTGAATCTGGGCAGGGATAGTTGAGGAGTGAGAAGGAAAGGCGCTGATGGGCAATCAATCAAATGGCACTGTGTTTGTCACACACATTAAAATGGATATGGTGCCACTGTCCTTACTCCACAAAGTGATGAGCCAAAGAAGATGTGGGACATTTGCTAAACCCAGTGGGATAGACCCAGGACAAACTACTCCAAGAAACGGATCCATGACACGGAAGGAGCATTCCCCGCATCCTGTCACTCACGGTGATAGAAGACTGGTCACGGCACCGATCCAGTCTGTATCAAGTTTCTATTTTAAATAATATAAAATTTTAAAAAGAATTATTGGTACACTTTCTACCCCAAAATCGTTCATGTAACTGAATTTCCAAAATGTCCAAGCCTTCAAACACCGATCCTGGAAAAATAAAAGTTGGCAAAGTCCTGAAAAGTCACTAAGTACTTTTCTGATGCTGTTGATTTCACACAGGAAGGATCTCGGAGCTGGGGAGATGGAGGCAGCGTAATGTGCTGGAAGAAAGCACAGTGCAGAAAAACGTGTTATTAGGCGTGGGTGTTTCGTCGCCATCTCCAGTGACTGAGATGACATGGACGCACCAATGCTGCTTTGCAGCAAGGCAATGGGGCTTTTTACATCACGTTAAGGAACAATGTTACAGCTCAGGTCACTAGCTAAGGCAGTGCTCTAGCCAGGTTGTCCCACCTATGCTTCAAACAAAAACCTATACAAGGGCGTTGCTGAACAAGCATGTATTTTTCCATGCCCTTCACCAGAATCTAAAAGTGGAGATTTGATGCAAAATAAAATCTGTGCTCTCTCTCTGTGATTTACGGGATTAAAGTAATGCCTCAGAACTGACATCTGGTTAATGATGGCTTTTTCTGGTCTGACTTTGTAAAAGCCTGCCTGTTTCTTGTTGTGGGAGAAATTCCACAGATAATGCAGGTCATACAGCCTCTCTTCTTTGTCTCTCCTTCTTCAGTGTAAAGCCTCACAGAAAGCTATTCCTCTTCTCTAAACTTTTTACAATCAACATGAACTAGAAAGAATGTTAATTAGCACCTTGCTGGTTGTTCCTTCCTAGGGAAGTTTGCAGTGTGTAAGATTTTTCTAAAGGCTTGGCTATAAATGAGGACAGGGTGAGAAATCACTGGGGTTTTTTCCTAGTTTTGCAATACTTATTGCAGTTTACAGAGAGGCGATTGGCTTTATTTATGTATATTTACCGACTTGAAACAGTGCACACACTGGTTTTGCTGGATGCTTTTTCTGCTGCTTTATTTCTTCAGTTCGCTCCTGTCAGGATCTGAGCTAATTTTGTCTCAAAGGACTGTGCTGTAAGAGAAGTCTCGCATGTGAAGCCAGATCTATCACCAGAACCCGAGTGGTGAATATACTTATTAGCCCACCGATTTCTATCAGTCCAGGTAATGTCAATTTTTGACTTTAAAAAATGTTGCTGGAACTACAGCCGTGTCATTTTTTTTATGGAAATGGGGTTTATGTCTCAAAGAAGAAGCATGAAGCTGATCCCAGCAGATCAGAGGCAGTTTTTAGCATGTCCCAGCCATAGCAAGAGAAGAGCTGAACTGGAGCATTATCTCTGCGCAGGAGGGGACAGGATCAGAGCTCTCATCTGCAGCCCAGATGATAAAAGAGATCTTGCCTGACACGCAGAGGAAAGGTGGGATTTTTTTTCCCTTTCCTGATTAAAGTGACTTTCCGGTACCACAAAGCATTCTGCAATTCACGAACCCCGTCTATCCCAGGAGGCCCCGGCTCACACACGAGCTTTCTGTCTCGTGGCACTTCTCTCGCTCAAGTAAGCCTTGGGTTGGGTAAGTTCAGGTCTGCTTTTAGCCCTGGAGAGTTGCAAGCCAGCATCATCTTCCATATAGAATTAGCTCTAGTTTTTATGTGTAGTCTGAGAGTTTGAACAGGTTTTCCTGGGTTTGTAAGTTGTTGGGGTCTCTGAATGGGAGTATTTTTGCCTGGGTATAGCGACGTGGCAGAGAGGAGTCCTGATGGCTCTTGTTCCATCTGCCAGCCTTTATGTTGGCAGTGAGAGACTGGAAACTCGCTCAAGGTCAGGCAGGTGCTTGTATTTGTTGTCAGGTGAACATGGCCCAAACCCCCGAGAGATCTTGATCACAGGAATCTCATCAAAAATACCCCACGATATTGAACATCCGGGATATTTCCTTGGACGCTCACCTGCCTGCGCCATGCCAATTTGCTCTCCGTTTTAGGCTGCCCAATTGCTCACTCAGCAAAGGAACTCGTAAATGGGAAAGGCTCAAGTACAATAAGCTAAATATTCATATTCTTTCTGCTTGCACTCGTGACATCTGGGACATCTGGGGCGTAACGAGTTCTTTTATTTGAAGAGCCTGATCTTCTTCAGTATAAGTCTGAGCAGAACGTATACATTTACATGAACAGAAATGTGTGCTTTTTTGCTTGCTCTCTTAGATACAAGCACACTCTCTGGGCTGGTTGCAAGGGGAAGGCTCACAGTCACATCTAAGGCTCTGAA